GCCCTTATTAGCATTAAACAAAAATACTGAAATTTTACGTGCATTGGAGATAGCAACGACACAAAAGAACACCAATTGATATACATACCCACATCATGTTTATGCACAAACAATATACCTTAAGTACGGAAGAAAAAGCAGTATTTCAAAGAAAAAGGTACATTAGGCAATGATCGGGTGAGGGAGATTAGAATGTATTCAGGAGTTATTCAAAATGCTACTCGATTGCTAAAGTATCAAACCAGTATTCAATGACACAAGGCAGTTTGATTTTTCGCAGGATTTCGCCCAAATTTTGTGTACTCATTTAAGAGAGCATCGCCTAAAAGTCAATTTTTTTCCAATTATTGCCTTTGGCTATAAAACATCTCACCTAAACATCAAGTTGTTCGCTTTTGTGTCTGCTTCCAGCAGTCCCAATTCAACAAAACGATCCAAGACCTTGAAAACTTCTAAGTCAGATGGTACGCAACTCTACTATCGACCGTATTTCCAATTCGGCGAAAATCTGAGCGAAAATTTATTTCGTAACATAGCTGCCTCGGTTTGCAAGGAGCAGCATATGTTTCACCTTGAAGAATTTTTTCTCTAGCCGACAGTAGCAGACTGCGGACACAATCGCAGTCGTCGGTAGACGCATAATAAAACACATAGCGACCACATGGAGAGAGCTGAAAAGGGCGAGTGCTGTAAGCCATGTTGCACAATGTGTTCTTAACGGATTCTGCTGAATTACAAGTAGAAACATTTTTGTAGCAAAAAAAATTGATGCAAGGCTGGAGATCAAACACCATAAGAATAGATTATTGAAAAAACAAGTCTTTCCCAAATTTCGATGATTTGGCGGTGGCGTAATTTGAATCGGCAAACTTACATTTGACTTTACAATCCGACTCGTGGTTAGTCGGTATCACCAAGTCGACAGATTCGGCAAAAAGGTGAGGAGCAGATGCACCACTTTCATCCGCCAAGAAGCGACACAGGAAAGCGCTGGCCACTTGCTTCAGCATTGAGAAAGAATTGTTGACCTTAAAAAGCTACATTTCAAGGAAAGTTTTTTTTGTTTGCACTGTGTATAATGAGTGCTTAGTTATGGCTGCAAGATAGCCTTCGTAGCAAAATATTCTCACAAAAAATAAGTTATAAAACCCAAACAGAGGCACCCAAGTTTTCGTGCCCCGACTTAGATAAGGAAAAATGATGATACGTACCGAGAACATGTAGCTGAGCTCATCAGTGACATTTGGGTGAGAAGTGAAATCCATTACAAATTTTGTCCACTCTGGAACACTCGAAATACCCGTTAAGAACTCTCAGGAAGAACTACAAGCCACCT